CTGTTTCTGTCAATTCATCAGACTTATTCTCCATCCAGCTTTGTTCCTTTGCTGGTGAGGGGTTGTGATCCCTTGGAGGATGAGTGGCATTCTGGTTTTGGGTGTTTTCATCCTTTTTGCGCTGGTTTCTCCCCATCTTTGTGGATTTATCTACCTGTGGTCTTTGTAGTTGGTGACTTTCGGATAGGGTCTCTGAGTGGACATCCTTTTTGTTGATGATGAAGTTATTTCTTTCTGTTTTTTAGGTTTCCAACAGTCAGGTCCCTCTGCTGTAGGACTGCTGGAGGCCCACTCCAGATCCTGTTTGCCTGGGGATCACCTGCAGCAACTGCAGAACAGTATGGGTTGCTGCCAGTTTCTTCTTCTGTTATCTTCGTCCCAGAAGGATACCCACCAGATGTCAGCCTGAGCTCTCCTTTATAAGGCATCTCTTTGGATATACAGGGGTCAGGGATCTGCTTGAGGAGACAGTCTGTCCCTTATAGGAGCTCAAGTGCTGAGATGTGAGCTCCATTGTTCTGTTTAGAGCTGTTGGGCAGGTACATTTAAGTCTGCTGCAAAAGAACTCAAAACCACCTTTTTTCCCAGGTGCTCTGTCCTGGGAAGGTGGGGCTTTATTTATAAGTTCCTGATGTGCTGCTGCCTTTTTTCAGAGATGCCTTGCCCAGCAAGGTAGCCTAGTCACAGTCTGCCAGCAGAGGCATTGCTGAGCTGCCATGAGTTCCGCCCAGCTGCTTTGTGAACTTCCTTGAGATTTTGTTTATAGAGGTATAATTGGAACTGCATGAGTAATGGTAGTTTGCCTCAGTAATGGCGGACTGCCTCATAATGGCAAATTGCCTCAGTAATGGCGGACTGCCTCGGTAATGGCGGACGTCCTTCCCCTTACAGAGCTGGATTGTCCTGGGTCTAGCTGTGCTTGCTGCGAAACTCTCATTCCAGAGCATTTCAGATTACTGGTCTTTGTGGGGTGGGACCTACCGAGCCAGATCACCTAGCTCCCTGTTTCAGCCCAGTTTTTTTCAGTTGAATGGGTGGCTCTGTCTCCCAGGCATTCCAGGCACCAGTTGAAACGGCTGCCCAGATTTGTGTGAGTTTTTGTGTGGAGACCCACTGCACTGGCTAAAACAGCTATGCTGGAAACTCGTGGCACTTTTCAGCCCGGGAATCTTCTGGTCTGTGGGCAGTGAAAACTCGTTTGGAAATGCAGTGATCACTCACCCTCTGTGTTGTTCTTGCTGGGAACTGCACTCCAGAGCTGTTCCTATTCAGCCATCTTTGGATTCTTTTAAAAGTGGTTAGAATCCATTTGTTAATATTAGCTTAGCTCAAGAATAAATACAAACAACTAGAGAGGCTTCACCTAATCTAATAATTTAAAGACATGTTATTTCTCAGAGGAAAAGAACTCTCAGAGCAGAAGAACAAATTATATATTTTATATTAAATCAATAAGGAGTTCATGTATAATAATTCAATCTGTTCTGCATTACTATATCAGTGATGGAGATTGAAAATACTATCAGAAGATTGATACTTTATCCTTGACTATCTAGTTTTTCTAAGCTATCTTTTTTAATTGAGAAACAAAGAGTTTTTGCAACTGAAGATTTTTTATACTACTCATTTAATGTCTATCATTTTGAACATTTTCACTCCTGCTTCCCTTCCACCCTTTCTGACTGGGCTGCCCTTTCCCAATCCTTGAAAACTTTGAATTTATCCAGAAAACCTGTAAAATTAAAGTAATACAATTTCCCAGTGTTTAGCACAGGGGATATTATGGTTTGGGGGATAAACCAACTCCTGAGAGTTTGTGTTTATGTACAGGTCTTCCTTATGTGTCTAAAAGTAATCTCTGCTGCGAGTAGCACTATCAAAGCTGCTTTTGTGTGTCAGCATTTATTTTAGCTTTCATTGTCAAAGATCATGCAGTTTTCTTGTTTCCATTTATCAACCTAAATATCTCTTAGTCACCAATCTCTTCTGAAAGCCTGTAATCCTGAAACAGATTTCCTGAGCAAGATGGAGTTAAATAAAACACTCATTTTCTAGGACTTGGAACATTTGTCCTAATTTCACACCTTATGCTGCAGCTCAGTCAGTGCTTGAAAGGCAAAGCATGCAGCCAGAAAACAAGTTCCAACGTCACCTCTTCTATTGCATTGCACCTTTTGAACCCCTAAGACAGAAGAAGATGCACTAACATGCCTCTTTGCTTTACAGTGAAGCATTGTTTGGATTATGTCAAAATCAGAGACCTGAAGAAAGATGTTTAATTTACATTCAAGCCCTGTTTCAAACCTTGTCTATATATTCTTTCTGAACCCCTTTGTTGTTTAAAAAATAATCTTAAAAGTAGCTTCAGTAATGGAAAGCAGTTTATTCACACAGCATACATTTGTTAAACACTATATCTATATCATTGAAATCACTATAGTATGGGGTGAGGGTATGGGGATGAACAACAGGTGTAAATTATACAAAAATTGGCAATAAGAAGGTTTTTCCTTGAAGAATTCAGAATTTAGTTGAAAATATAAATAAGAGTATACAAATTGCATATTATTAGAAAACTATGAATCATAATTTTTCATTTTTAGCTTCATGTCTATTTTCAGATACACAGAAATGTTTATAGATATTTAAATTTAAACTCCTCTTTCATCGAAGATAGAGCGTAATGTTTATAAGAAATTGGATAAAAGAAGCTTAGAGAGTTATTTGAACAATAGAAACAAAAGACAGGGATCTTTCTTAGTAAATATTAGAAATGTCAAAGATTAAATGAAACTGATTTTAATAAACAATGATTAGTTTCTAATTTGCATTTAGAGATGCTCATAACATTGCCTTTTATGACTTGCTGAAGTTTGAGTTGGACATGCATAATCTCTATCCTTAGTTAGCAATGTGTATATAAACCACTATTTCTTTCCCAATCACTGATGTAGGAAAATCAGTATGTACCCTCCACAAACATTGGTTAATTGTTTGAATCTAGTTTTTGCAAGTAGATTCTTCTTTACCCTATTATTTCTGTTCCTTGATAGTAGGGTAAGTTCAAAGGGAGAACCCATGGTAATGTGTTCAAAGGGCTTATGAGTCATAGGCTAAAACCTTAGCAGCTTGGCAGATGAGCTGTGCTTAGAATTTAGAAATGAGCTCAGCATTGGTGTACTATGGATACCCATATCTGGAATTTCTACTTTGTCTTAGTCCATTTTGTTTTGTTATAACAGAATGCCACAGATGAGTGATTTATAAATAAAATACATTTATTTCTCACAGTTATGGAGGCCAGGAAATTCAATATCAAGGTACTGGCATCTCGCAAGGGCCTTCTTACTGCATCATCCCACGAAGGTAAGAAGGTGAGAGAGGGTTTGAGAGCAATAGAGACAAGGGGTCAAACTCATCATTTTATCAGAAAACCACTTCTGAGATAACTAATCCATTCCTGATATAATGGCATTAATCCGTTTAGGAGGGCAGAGACCTCATGATCTCATTACCTCTTAAAAGTCCCACCTCCTAACACTGTTGCACTGGGAATTTAGTTTTTAACACATGAATTTTGAGGGGCACATTTAAACCATAGCATACTCTTAAAAAGGAAGTTTGTGGAGGAGAAAATAATGGACAGTTGGTCATTCGATTTTTCATTTGTTCATTATCATATTCTCATTAGATTGAGTTTAATTCATTTTATATATTTTCTGGGTTGACCACATAAACATAACTAGCATTATGTTTACATTACGTTCATTACCACATTCTCATTAGATTGAGTTTAATTCGTTTTATATATTTTATGGGTTGACCATGTAAACATAACTAGCATTATGTTTACATTACGTTCCTTACCACATTCTCATTAGATTGAGTTTAATTCGTTTTATATATTTTCTGGGTTGACCACATAAACATAACTAGCATTATGTTTACATTACGTTCATTACCACATTCTCATTAGATTGAGTTTAATTCATTTTATATATTTTCTGGGTTGACCACGTAAACATAACTAGCATTATTTTTACATTACGTTCATTACCACATTCTCACTAGATTGAATTTAATTCATTTTATATATTTTCTGGGTTGACCATGTAAACATAACTAGCATAGTGGTTAAGAACATGGACTTGAACCAGATTTGCCAAGTTTGAACAATGCTTCTGCCATATAAGCTTGAGTAATTTTCTTCACTTCTATCCTCATTTCCTAATGGTATCAACTTCTAAGTGCTTTGGGAGAATTAATTGAATTGATATAGGTAAAGATTTTAGAGCAGTGTCTGTCCATTGTAAGCATCTCTAAGATTCTGCCATTCCTATATTATTATTCCTTAAAATAATATTAAGATTCTCTACTGTAACTTTCTGCTTCACATACAATTTTAGTAGAGTGAAGAAAAGTTGGCAGTACCAAATGAGGGAAGAGTCTTGCCCTTTGTTTTTAAACGTCAAGGTAACCATTTTTAAAAATATATAATTTCTATGACATGACCAGTCACCAAAATTTCTCTTTCCTGTGGTTCAAATGAGGTCTACTTCAGTAGACAATTCAGCAAGAATCAACAGCGGAAATGCAAAACACAGTGCTAAAAAAAATCTTTCACTCATATTTACACAACAGCTTATATTGAGTATTAATATTTAAATTCTTTTAAAAAACCGTACTTTTTCCCTTATTTCATCAATATAGATAACAAATATAATTTATTTTGTCTATTTAAAAAGAAGAAAAACAGTAGATAACCAGGGAAATTTAACACTGCCCTGAAATCTAAATGTAGCATCTTTTTAATCAAAAACAACAGGTTAATCCTGGCTTTGGAGTCAGAAAAATCATATTAAAAATGCATAAAGTGTGATTCATTCAAAACCTGAATATAGCAACATATAATTCTATAAAGCCACAGAGATTTTTAGATCAAAGCAAAAAAAGGTAAATCAAACCTGAAATGAATGGATTAACAGAAATGGGAGCGTTACCGTAATATTCCTTTATATTCAGTAACAGAGAAGCAGATTTTGTCAAATCTTGCTTTCTAATTCCCATCTGGAAAAGCCTTGCTCTGGAAGTGAACAGGTTTGAAGGAATGCCTTTGACATCTGTAAAGTTAAAAAGCATCAATAATTGGAATGGGTTTAATCCCTCATTCAACAGCAGGTATTTTATACACAATCATAAGAAGTGATGAAAGTCAGGCACAGATGTACAAATTGTTAGATTTAATCAGATTGGTACTCTACCCCTGGTTTAGTCTATTCTGTTTTAGCTTCTACTTAACCCGAGTTAATGGAAGGAGATGGTCATATGTATAAGGAACAAATCCAGATCAAAAATCATTTTGGAGATGTCGGGTGACAGCGGAGCTTAACCCATGAACCACCAGATATAGAAAGTTTTCATTAACAGTTCTTTGTGTATCATCATTCATTTTAGTCTATATTAAATTGATTCTGTGAAAAGGGCCTACCTAGTGTTTGTGCCTTTGATATTCTGAAATAAGAAGAGACTGTGTCAAAGAGAAACAATAGTGGGTAGAAGGGTCAAAATAAACAGAGGAAATATACCTGAGACTTAGAGGCTGACAATACCAGCTGTCCCTGATGTCTAAAATATTTATTGGAGCAGCACACACATTTAGATGCTCTTCAATTTATTCCCTATTCACAGTTCCAGCTGTTAAGTAGTCACTCTCTTTCCGAATAGCAGTATGGAGATGGAGAAAATAAGATGAAATTTGTAATTGCACAATCAAATTACAGTATAGATTTAACTAGAAACTGATTCAAAAACTTATGCTTATCTATCAACATCCTAAATTTTGGGAAAGTGTTTTTATTTCAATTATTTCCTATTACTATGTCCTATTGGAAGTCTTAAGGAAAACTTGAAAATATTCTATAACATGATTCATCAGAACCATTAAGCATATTATTGCCTACTAGATTCTTTTTTATTTTATTTTATTTTTGAGATCAAGTTTCACCCTTGTTGCCCAGGCTGGAGTGCAATGGTGCGATCTCGGCTCACTGTGACCTCCATCTCCTGTGTTCAAGCGATTCTTTTGCCTCAGCCACCCGAGTAGCTGGGTTTACAGGCATGTGCCACCATGCCCAACTAATTTTGTATTTTTAGTAGAGCTAGGGCTTCTCCATGTTGGTCAGGCTGGTCTCAAACTCCCGACCTCAGGTGATTTGCCCACCTCGGTGGCCTCCCAAAATGCTGAGATTGCAGGCTTGAGCCACTGTGCCCAGCCCAATTTTTTAATTTTTTTTATTTTTGAGACAAACACTCTTTTGCTCATTCTGGAGTAGAGAGGCACCATCATAGCTCACCACAGCCTCGACCTCTGGGCTGAAGTGGTCCTCCTGCCTCAGACTCCCTAGTGGCTGGGACTACAGGCACACACCACCATGCCTGCTCATTGTTGTGTTTTTTTGTAGAGATAGGGTCTCAATATGTTGTCCAGGCTGGTCTCCAACTCCTGGCCTTAAGCAATCTTCTCGTCTCAGCCTCCCAAAGTGCTGAGCTTACAGGCATAAACCACTGCACCTAGCCCAGATTCTTTATATGGTGCTGTACATGCTCTTGTAAAATAAACCAAAAACTTGGATAATAGATTATATAAGAACTAATACTACTGGAAATCATTATTTTCAAACTCAGTCATACATGCAAATGTGCTTTTACTTTCTAACATCCCATATTGTACATATTAGTTGTCAGTATTCTTGTACTTCCATAATGATAGAAATATCTTAAAATTAAGGAATTTAATAGTCAAATAGAGATTTACATTCAGAGAAAAGAAAAATACCCTTTTCAGTTTTATCTCATTTTCATGCAAATAATTTTTGTTTTTACTCTCCCATCTTCATTAAATCTTGATTTCAGTATAAAAAATCTGCAAACTCCATATGCAGCAACCTCTCTCCTTCTTCTGACCTCAATCATACACAAAACTTTAAAACAGAATTATTTCTTACCATATGGGATCTGAGACTAAGATCAAACCCAACCTAGACAAATGCCATGCCGTAAGTTGACAACTGCTCCTGGAGTCCTGGGCAATGCCTGGGAGAGCGCCTGCCAGGGCCTACTGTTTTCAAACGAGTTTCATTTCTCTAACAATTTAAATCTGCCAAGAAGAAACCGAGACAATCAAGCTTTGTGCCAAAAAGCCCCAAGCTTAAGCGAGAGATGTATCCTCTCTTTAGCCTGCTGATGAGAGAGAGAGCAGAGGGAGAGGAAAGGATAAAGATTCATAATGAGTGGGACAGAGGCTCATATGCTTTTGGAATGCCACAACAGGACAATTTCTGGCCCTAATGATGTTACTTTGTTGAGCTTCATACCCGGAATAGAGCACACCCTTTTCCTTTTTCTAAGTTCCATTACATTTGGGATTATTATCTATGCCGTATCTTCTTCCCATTTCCCCATCCTCACCCTCCCACAACTGTGTCACCAGAGAAACATCCCACTACAGAGGCTCCTGGTCCAATTTTGAATTTAAAACTTTGGGGCCAAGGAAACCTTCCCAGAGAGACCCAACATACTCTGCTGTCAGTTTCCTGGCATTTTACTTCTTTATATCACCTCAAATTCACCTTCGAAAAGGGAGTAAATGAGAAAGTCAGAATATCTATCACATGGACTACAAGTTGTGAGAAAAGGAGAGCAAAAGAGAGGGCCTAGTGGTCGCTTTCTACCCCAAAGAGCCATATGCCCTGAGAACGGCTGAGAACATCCTCTGCCAACCCAGCAGCAGCCTTCCTAACACCTTGCGTTTGAGAAATGAGAGACCTACTGTTTATTATCACAGGTCCAGGTGGTAAAAATCCAAACTTTATCCAAGCAGATATCTTCAATCGTAATACCAAATGACAATAAACTGAGGTAAAATGTTGCTGTTGCAAATATACAAATGAGTACAATGTGTACTATTTTGAGGTACAATATTTTCAGAACTACAAATTTATGATGCTTCTAGCATGTGAAATATAATCTTTTGAATCATACTGTTCTGGATTCAAATCCCAGCTCCCCACCAAGTAGCTGTGTGACTGGGAAATTTATTTATAAATTATCTGAGCTCTGGCTTTTTCTTCACAAGGAACATCAAAAACATATTTCATAGGGTAATTTTGTGAGAATGAAAAAGCCGAGATAATTGATGTAAAGCACATAGGACTATTGCAAAGTTGTCACATGGTAAGCACTCCGTAAATTATAGCTATTAGAAGTTTTCCAATTTGGGATAAAAGTATGAAGTTAAATGAATTTGCTTATTTTGGCCTTAAGACAATCACTGCAAATATTTTGCTTTTGAAATTGTTTTGAGATTTTCTCTATTGTCTTCCATTTATCCTGAAAAATCCATTACTTATGACATGATATCAGAGTCACGTAGAAGGCAGATTAGGAAGAAGTGCTTTATAATCACAACTGAGAGTGAATTTAAAATTGACATTGGGGTGGGAATAAATAGAGACACCTTTCTGGAGGATAATTTGGCGCTGTCTGTGAAAGCAATCAAAATTTAATTTCTAGGAATGTATCAAAGGGCATTATGATGATACAGTTCTAGTGATATACATTGCAAACTTTTTTAAATTAAAAACTTGTTTGTATGTCCATTGACAGAGGATTGTTTAAATATATTATGATACATCATACCAGTGGAATGTTATGTAACCATTAAAAATATTGTAGAAAAATACTGAATGACATAAAGAAAAATCACTTAAGTGAAAAAATCACACTGAAGACAATATTACAGTATCCTGTTTTTCATAGAGAGAAAGTCTTAAGAGGATATACACCAAAATATCAACATCTTATATCAGCACTGTAAGATTATGAATGATTTTATTTTAAGGTTTCTGTTCTTGATTTTCTGAAATGTAAATGATTTTTTGAACAAACATGTATTGGTTAGTAATTTTCAAATAATATAAAATAAATTTGAATTTTAAATTTTGCTATTTCATTGAAAATTCAGAAATGTAAATAATGATGTCTGTAAAGCAAAGCATAAATCCACACAAATTTATCCACATGTATTTATTCATATTTTCTCTAAAATGCCAGTATATTGATGTATATTATGTTTGCATACACAAGCATACTAACAGATGAAAAATTCCTACTAATTTCTCATAGAAAATCTGTGTATTTCTTCAAATATTCATTTAAATCCCAATGTAAAGCTCTAAGAAATAGTTTCAGAATATCTTTTAATGCCTCTTCTTTGTAAAGTCTTCAAATGCTGCTGACCTTGCATAATAATTTTTTTCTTACAACATATCAATTATTGTTCTGGCACCTCTGGCCTACTCATGAAATCAATGAAGTGTGAAATGCCTCTGTGCAGAGTAATATTTCATATTTGGTACTTTATGTATTAATTACTTTTCTGTTTCTGCTAATACAGTCTGGGGGAAAAAAACACCCCATTCTGTAATGACATGTCAATGGGGAAAGAAGGAAAATAGCAAACAATTCCGATTTGCTGACCTATCGAAAGCTGCTAAGAGAAGAGAATCTCCTGCACCAGTTCCCTCTGCTGTCAGTGTCTCCCCCCTAAGCCAGCTGCTTAGCAAGTAAGGGGCCTTCTCAAGCGGAGCCTGGCTTTGCTGTGTTTAAAATAACAGATGCAAGGTTTGAGAAGCAAGTCTTTCAAGTCACATCTCATTGTTTTGAGCCTGACATACAAAATAAAATCCAAAACCCAAAGTTCAACTCAATGTCAACCAAAGATGGAATACAGAGTGCAATTAAAATATTTCACAATTTACGAAATTATAATCTGCAAAGAGAAAGAAATGTGGGAAAATGCTAGTCTATTAAGATTCTGTTTAGTTGCTACTTCAGCTGCCCAACAGTTAAAATACAAATCAGTTTGATAATCTGAGAGCAGCAGTTTTAATCCTCAATTCCAGGGTGCTCTCTTTCTCTCTCTCTCACTCACACACAGACACACACACACGCCAGTCATTCAGCCTGAACAGAAAAATTCAGGTGTCACATTTCTTGATTCAAGAGCTGTGTTAAGCGGTTATAAAGCTGCTGTAATTTACAGCAAAGAATAAAGTTAACCTAAGAGACCTCAGCCTCAATTTGCTAAAACTTATTACACCTCATTGGCCACCAAATAGCCAAAAGAAGAAAAAAGAAAAAAAAAAAAAAAAAAAAAAACTTATCTGAATAAGAGACTTGACTAGTATTAGCCTAGTGAGAAATGATCGGCTTAAAATTGCTCTGGCTACATCATAGGTTCAGATTAACACTATTTATGGTGTTATGATTTCCTATTTCCTGAGTTATATGAAAGCCAAAGGAGCTACTGTAACAGTACTAATGAGTCGATAGATGTTTTCAGATGTCTGTTTGACTCCTGAGTCTAATTAAATGTCTTAATATGACATATGTGGTTCTCCACTGAATATCCCAGCTGTGGAATTAATATGTTACAAAAATACATATACACAATTATCTCAAACTATAGTGAGTTTGAGGTTATAAATATACCAGTTATATTGAATTCACTAACATAGCACTTTGTAAAGTGCTATAAACATGCTAAATAAATGACCAAGAATGTGTAACTATTAATAACTAGCCTCTTGTTAATGACACCTCAAAGCCTTGTGAAGGAGAGCGCACTACTTGGATTTTGTACCGTACCATCTTTAATCCATATTTTTCATGAGAGTTCTTTTGTAGCAATATGTATTCTCATGTGCCAAAATGTTTTGGGGGTTAATGCTAAAGATAGGGGTAAAGAACTCATGGTCAAAATGTTATGATATCAAAGAAAAGTGACAAATGGCTGGTATACCCTAAATTAACAATCCAGTCCAAAATAATTCTAACAGTCTCAGAAATTATTCTATAATGGTAAATTTGGTGAGGTGAAATATTTGCCCACAACTTTTCAAAACTTCCATTATATATTAGCAGATATGTAACACACATTCTTTGTAGCACAAATCC